ACATTTTTAAAAAGTGACTCTAAAATCATGAATTATACTGCAAAATAATTGGAGAAGTAGCTGTGAGAATGAAAGTGTGCAGATTTCAGTTTATATCCGAGACTGTCTATACCAACTTTTATTTCTGGAGTTATTTGCTTAAGAAATATGCTTAGGCTAGGGGTAGTGTACTTACCTACCATTTATGAGACCCTGGGTTCAACCCCAGCATCACACACCAAAAAATTTTTAATGTCTTTTGAGTATTTACAAGGGATTGGAAAACAATGTATATGTGACAACTCAAAGGAAGGTCCTAAAATATAAAAGTTCTCTCCAGAAGGGATTACAAAACTATCAAGAAGTGGGTGTGGTTATGTACAGTTGTAATTCAGCACTCAGGAGGCGGAGGCAGGAGGATCACCATGAATTTGAGGTCAGCCTGTGCTACATAGCGAGTTCAAGGCCAATATGAACTGTATAGAGAGACCCTGTCTCAAAAAATTAAACAAAACTAGCAAGTTCTTAAAAAAAGGAAAAGGCATGCAAAGAGCATAAACAGAAGATCAAGTTATTGTTATACTAAAACTGGAGCTAGAATTAAAATATTCAAAAACCTTATACAAACAGAACAAAGATGTGCGTATGAACCTCTATGTGCTGAGTAATATAGACTGAATATATTAGGCAAATAGGATTAGAGATATAAGAAAATATCTAATAGTAGTATATAAGATTTTCTGTTACATTTCTTACCCCTTGAGATACAAATAAGGATACAGGAAATGAGGATATAGCGAGTCTGACCAGTATTTAACTGGAATTGCTTCAATGATTATATGACAAATTACAGAATCCTCTGGCACAGGAAATACTTACAGAATGTATTTGCTTAGCAGGTAAAAGTGAAGTCTTTAACAAATTCTCCAAAGCAGACCACACTATCTTATGTATTAGAACTAAAAAATGTTAACAGAAGACTAAAAATACGTCCAATCACCTAGGTATTGAAACATACTATCTTAACTCCTGAATCCTATGAACAAACTGCAGCCACTAAATATTTGGAAAATAAATGAAAATACAGTATGCTTAACCTATAGGATCAAGCCAAAGAAATAATCAGATCCATACCATTAAAATGCTTCTTTTCAAAATTAGAACAGAATTAAATGGACCAATTATTCAACTGAAGAAAAAGAAATAAGGGAAGTACAGAAGAAATGAATAAAATCAAAATGGTGACATAAATTAGAAAATAAACTACAGGTTGTTCCGTGGTATCGAGAAGAACGGAGGTAGACTCAGAAAAAACATAGAATAGGCTACTCAAGAAAAGAACCACGAGACTGAACTAGTCATGTTGAGCCAAGGTTGCTTGAGTCCAGGACTTAAAGGCCAAACTGGGCAATACGACTCTGACTGGCAAATAAACAAAAACAAGAAAAAAAAAAAAATACAGAAATCTAATAGATGATTTATGTATTTAAAACACTGAGATTATTATGTACACCCAGAGCTAAGAATATTTTAAATATAAGGCAGAATTTCCAGAAAAGGAAAAATCACCAAGATTTACTTGAACAGTCATACACAGATCAAGACCACGTAAGAAAATAGAAATGTTGTGAACAAATTATCTTTGAGAAAAGAGCCATGAGTATCTGGTTTCCGGTAAAATAGCTTCAGCTTCAAAGAAGTTAATCCTTGGAACCATAAACTATTCTAAATGCAGGAGTTTTCTATGTTATTCTGCCAAGCTGTAAATGAAAACTGGACTAATCTCGTGAATAACACAGACAACAAAATCATAAATACACGGCTAGTTAATGGACTACAGCAACACTTTAATAAATGCTTTAATACCTATTCTATTAATATAATTAGTGTCTGTCATCGACAGATTAAAGGAGAAAATCCACATAAATATATTGGCATTTTTTTAAAAGTCAGCATCTGATCCTATTAAGTAGGCTTCTTTAAACACAATATTCTGTTTCTAATACACAGTTTCAATTATGTGTACAAGTGAAACACTAAAAATCAGACATTCATAAAAATCAGAAAGAATGTCCATTATGCACAATCGAAAACTATTAGAAATGATGAATTAAGTAATGTGGCCAGTTTAAAAAAACACTAGCTTTCCTATTTATGCAGTAACAATTATAATACGTATGGAGAGTCCATACCTAAAATCAACAAAAATGATTTTGTAAAGTTTTTAAGAACTAATGCATCAAAAATATATAGAAAATTTTGCAACTTATAACAGAAAATATAGAAAGACCCTACTATGCTATGAGTAGAAAGATCCACTAAGCAAACATTAATATACTTCCAATTAAAACCCTAACAGGATACTTAGGTAAAGTGAACTAAATCATTGTTAAACTCACAGAGAAATAAACCAGCAGGAATAGAAAACAGAAAAGGAGACAAATTAAGTTTTGTTCTACATATCTGTATGTACTATTATTCTAGGAATTCAAAATACAGTGACTCAAAAAAACATACAATGTCAGGAGCATACTAATCAAGATACAAGTGTAGTACTTTTAAAAACAAACAAATCAGGGTGGAATAGAACAGAAAGCCCACAGAAATAACCAAGTAAGATATAGATGGCATTGTAAATATACCAACAAATGCTGCTGAAAGAATTAGTACAGCCATGAAGAGAAATTGTCAGTTAGAGCCGTACTTCACAGCTAACAAAATAACCACTGATGAATGATTTAGAATGCAGAACGCCAGGAAATGAAACAACAATTTACAAGGTCTGGGAGTAGAGATAGCTTTTTTAAAGACAAATCATAAGGAAAAGATTAACAAGAGCTAACTACATAAAATTTTTAAATTATCCTGTAACAAAACCACCACAGACAAGCCCCTAAAATATATAGTTCATAAAGGGCTACCTTCCTTTCAAAAACTTCTTCAAAGCAATAAAGATAAAACCTAGTAATTAAACATACGAATAGTTAATGTTAACAGATGCAAGACCTGGCTATCAAATGAAATACATACATTTCACTAATAATCAAATACAAATCAAAAGCAGAATGATTTACCACCTGTCACAGAAAGAGATCTAAAAATGCTGAACACCCAAATAGCTACATGAAGAAGGAAAGGAACTGAAATGTAAAGCTGGCAGTTTTCTTTACAGCAATTTGTATTTAGCAAATGTTCTAAAAGTGTACTCCTTATACCAGCAACTCTGAGGAAACTGTATGTAGATTTGCACATTATTTATAATAGAAAAGTGAGAAATTTTGTATCCAGGAAAAAAAGGAATTATTAAACTACGGTTCTATAATAATGTACAACCATTTTAAAAAGTTAATTAATTGACATGGCTGTTCACAATATATTAAATGAAAATAATACAAAGCTGGGGGCACTCATAATCCCATCTTTAAGGGGGAAAACCCCCAGATATACATACATATACATCAAAGGCAAAATATTAATGGTGGTTATCTCTGGCTTTTCTGTTATTTCTGAATATGTACATTTATCTATAAGCAGGGGAATGAGGGTTCCAGGTTTTAAGCTTTGTCAAAAAACATGGCACAGTGAATTACAAGTGCATCTTTACCAGAAAAGATCAACAGTCTGTTCTGGGTACAGACAAAAAGAAAACAAGGCTTAAAAAAATGAACTTGAATTCTTGTGGCAGTTTATTTACAGACTATCAAATATAACCTTTTAAAAAAACGAAATAGGTTATTCTAATACATTAAAAGTTACAAGACTTTACTAAAAGTTCTTGCTGGACTACAACAGCTTTACAACAAGTGAGAAAAAAACTTAAAAGGGGGATTCTCCATTTACTACAGAGCCTCATTTGAATACAATCAGAACTAGATTATTTTTCAATAGTCAAAGAAGACCCACAAAATGTCTATTTAATTCAAATGACAAGCTGTTTCTATTATGATCAGAAGTTTGCTTTCCCTATCTTTTAACTAGTTGCGTCGGCAGCTTATTATTAATATTTTTAATACAACTAGAAACAATTGAGGAAAATTGTCTGGAGAAGTCTTTGGTAAATGACAAACCATTACTCCCACTAGAAAGCCACTGTAAAATATAAACTCTCAAAAGACTGAAAAGCAAACTTATCTATGCAAGCCCGCTGGTACCCCCTTGTGTAACTAGAAAGCCCATTTCTATGGAAGTTTTTGTTTTAGCTAGTTCTCCAGTATGTAATTAATCGTAGTCCTAAAGAAAACTTTGGGAGTGTGGGTGTGGGTGTGGGGTAGGCGGGTGTGCTACGGATGGAGCCTAAGGCAAGGCCTTGAGCTTGCTGAGTGCTGTACCACTAAGCCACGCCTCCAGACCCAGGAAGTTCTTTTTAAAAACACTATCCAAAGCTGGACAGAGTGATCTCAGCTAGTAGGCAAGCTGAGGCAGAGGCAGGATGATCAGAAGTCTGGGGCCAACACTGGGCAAGTCTGGGTGATGCTCCCGGCAAATAAAAATTAATGGCCTGAAAATGTAGCTGTGGCAGAGTACCCCGGGTTCAATCCCAGGATGGAAGGAAGAGAAGTGAAGGAGAGAAGAAAGGATTGTTTAAAGCCAACACAGCCAATTTAGTGAGACCTTATCTCCAAATTTTAAACATTTAAAAGGGCAGCTGAATTTCCAGTACCACAGAAAAATAACCATATGTGAAATAAACAGTCCCTACATGCTTCTAATTAACTTTTCTGTATTTCATTTTTCTGAATTAAAAGAAGCTTGCTTTAAGTGAGCTTTTTTAAAAGCTACAAGCGTTAAACTATCAGTCCAGTATTCTAAATTTAGTAATTTATGACAACACTGGTCAGGCATTTAATGCAATGGCAATCCATTTGTCCTAAAAAAGGTCCTGTGAGCCCTCTAAGCCTCATCTCTCTTAGTTGCATAGTGAGGAGACCATATTGTACTTTTTTGTTATTGGTACATCCTGTTCAGACTTTCAAAACACCAAAACCATTATCCAAGGGAAATCAGTAGACATGTACGCGAAATTTGTATTTCAGCTTTATTTAAGCCTAGGGCTAAAACAAATCAAAACTGGATTGAGCTTACAGCAAATACACCAAAATCTTAACTCACAAGTACCAGTTGTATGAGTTTGGAAGCATTTAATCCATTTCTTTTTCTTGAGTAATCTTGGTATTTCTTACAAATCAGCCTATCACAGATGGGCCAAATTCAACTTAAAAGTTCTTCATCACTGAACTTCAGTTTTTCTTTTTCCCAGAACTTTATTTCCCTATTCAAGTTTCAATTTAAAATTTTACAGACACTCAAATTTCCATTCTTATATACACTTAAGTATAACTTACATATATCTGGGAGTAGTAGATACCGTAACTAGCTTCTCCAGACACTTTTACAACTTTGCTTTCAGCCTACTAGAACAACCATTTAACACCATTCCTGTTTATGGATGTATCCAAAGGACAATAGTACCTGGCACATAGTAGGCACTGAATATATAGTTGCTGACAGCAATGAAATGCTGAATTACAGCTAAAGTAATTCACATTTCACAAATTATTTTAAGGTAACCTCTCTAGAACGAGTAGTTTAAAATTTCAAATCCCCAACAGATAATGGATTGAAGATTTGGGAACCACACTCAGTTGCATGCATGAGAACTTGCTGTGTCAGGAAATACAAAATGGAATTTCATATGGGAGAAAAGTGTTTTCTTTATATAGATCAATCTTTTCTATTTTTATCTTCTTCCTTGCAATCTGACTTACCTGCTTCTTTCCCAAAGAACTTAAGTATTTTATGTTCTTCAGATTTCACTAAAAAATAGTGACTACTGTAGTTATTATAAGCGAAATAATTAGTGATTTCCCACTTTTTATTAACCCAAATTCACTGAATTAGTTAAATATTATAGAGGGCTGTGTTAAGATTTTTTTTACTACCGTATTTCATCAATTATGACACATTCTTTTATTTAATACCTTTGAATCGAGGATTATTTTACAACTGATGGACTCTTAGTACTGTAGTATGGTTTACCAGGCAACATTCTTTTCTTCTAAGTGGTACATATTAGTATGGCTCACAAGCAGTGCTCTCTTTAGGATAGAAGGTATAGTTCAAATTTTTCATTCCAAAGCCAACAATTTCCCTGTCTTCCCACTCTCCCAACATAAATACGTAAGTGCTTAATTAGAAAAACTATCCAAACACAGTTCACTTTTATATAAAATATTTAATTTTTAAAACACAGGCTATTCATGTCACATAAATATCTTTAAATTTAGGTTAGCTGCTTATGGTCAGCAGAATTATCAAGTGTGACTATTAAGAATAACTTAGATACTGTCACTTATAAGAAAGTCTAAAGCTCTAAGACTCACCATATTAAAATTTCAGAGACTTGAATACTGTAGCTATTTTGCTAAATTTCAAAATATGTCTTCACTTCTTGTAGTTTTATTATAAGTTGTTAGTATTCAAATAAAAACAAAATAATTTTTCTTCCATTCATTTCTTTCTCCCCCAAACAAAACATTACATCAAAAAATAAAATGGCCAACTAACATCAACTCATTTTATACTAGTAAAATGGTAACTTATGCTTCTTAACATATTCTTACTGTTACCAAACGGCAATGTTTTCCATATCCTGTCCTGAAGTGCAGGTTCACAAATCAGAAAAACAGAGAGCATGGGCTTCATTGGTTTTTAGACCTGGAGCAATTTTCATTCTGTAACAGCTGTTCCAGTTTAAGACTCCAATAAAAAAATAAGTTACCAGAACAGTTAAAGCTAAATGGTTAACTGGTACAACTTTACATTTCCAGAGCCTATGTTTCCATTTAGTGATGATGGGTACTTAACTTTGGTTCCTTTCCAGAATATTATATTGTATGTGTGCATACATGTGCACAAAAACTTGACAATATTACCGTTTAAATAAGGGTTATTCCAATTTCTTTTGTTACTTTTAATGAAAGAAAAAAATATGTTAAGATGAACTAATGTCACTCTAAGTGTGGCAGAAGCCATAATAAACTTTATAAAGATGAGGGGAAGTGAAAAAGTTTTCTCTATTTTCTTTTTGCTTCTTTCAATAAATTCAATCTAGGCAATGCTTCTAGTTAACAAGTTGACTTTTTCTTGAAATGGCAACTGAAAACCTTAAATACTGTGTTTGCCACCCCTCCTCCCATGAAGTTGAACTAATTTATGTAAAATCTGTTATTAATCCTTGCTTCTCAACTCCTGTCCTCCAAATGGAAACAGAGACAATGTGGCAGCCTGAAAGAAAACACTACTCTACAATTCGCAGGTAGCTACTACTTTCAACCATTAAATGACAAAACTTTTTAGAACTTCTCAGAAGTGACAGAAGGTACTGAGTACAGTTCTACTCCCTTTCTTTGCTTTCACTTCCCTAAGAGGAGAAGGCGACAGCGAAAGTTAACACAGCCCAGAGACAGGCAGAACAGGAGAAGGTCTAACAGGCAGAGGGAATGGACCTAACAGGAACTGAACAGGCAGCCCCTAAAAACTTCGGAGCCTTCTTCCTCTTGTACAATGCATTGATTCCCTTTAAAAGACAAATGGGTGTAAACTGCTTTTTCAGACCTTAAGCTTACCCGTTAAGGCACTTACTTAGCCCTCCCCACCCCACCCTTATTTTTCATATATAAAACCCACTATTTCATTTGAATGCATTTTGCTAGGCTATGGTAATCTGTAAAACAAAACAAAAATAACGTTGACCATTTTTTTTTATAAAACTGTAGCATCAAGAGAAAGGTTGTGTTTTATTTTCTGAAATGAGCACAAAGTACACCTTTCACAATAACACTGAAGCAGGTGCAAGGACTGACAGTGACCTTTGACTAAAGGTAGCTTTGTAAAAAGAAAAATACCAAATAAATCAGTGCCCTTTCTGATTGTTGTAAAACTGGAGGGGGGCAGGGAAGGGGTGTTTGTTTGTTACATAAAAGTTGGTCCAAACGTACAAAAAAAGCACAAATGTGCATAGTTCAGAAGATCTGCAAGAGGGCCATAAAAAGCCTATGTCCCTAAGATTAGCATCCACTTAAAACTGCAAGAATACAAAATAAAATTGTTAACTAGAATTTGTGAAGATGTACAATCAATAGATCTAATTTTAAGAACAGCATGAATTTAAGCAAAGGTTTTTTTTCTTTTTTTTTAAACTATTGTATGCAAGACCCTTTTCCACATAAAAATAAAGCTGTTGTTGAATTAATATTATTCAAGTCTCTTGGATTGCTGCCTTAAATTGCAGCTAGAAAGTCTTTCCAGATAAAAATGATGTGCCTGAGGAAAAACAGATACTCAATATGGTAACCCTCTGCCTCGACCTCTGCCGGCTGATGTGCTGATGTGCCCCCTGTATCCTTGTGAATATCCAGGGCCTTGAGCAGGGGAAGTCCAGGTCTGCCCATGCATGAGGCTTGGGCCGCCAGGATTTTCCTGTAAATTACCACCATAGTTATAGTTGTGCATCTTTGCTGGCAAAGGATGAGTACTCTCTGGCCCTGTAGAAGGGTCACTGCTATTTGCCAGGACTGCAATAGGGCCATGGCTGTATTCAAATCTGTGGTCCTTGTCTCCACTGAACAACATGGGACCAGCATTGAGGTAAATGTCTCCATATCCAGCTACGGAACTCGGAAATGACTCAGGAAAGGCAGAAGGCTGAGGTGGACCACCAGAATGAGATGAAGCAGTACTGTAGTTATCCAAAGACTGAATATCTGAGTTTCCAATGAAGCTACGTCGTTCCAATGGTGCAGCAGAACTACTTCCTAGACCATCATTGCTAACATAAGGAGCAGAGGAGAAAGACGATGATCCAAAGCTGTCCTTGTAGTCTGAAGTGGGCACGTAAGTGTCTCCTGCTGGATAATCAATACCACCTTCGCGTTTGGGTTCATCCTGGGGCTGATGCTGAGCAAGCAACTGTAACAGGGCTGCTTTCACTCCAGCATGAGGGTCACTTAATGAAGAACTCGTAGTGGGTACATGCTGGTTTTCTGTCCGATAATCCAGGTCTTCCTCGGTGACAGGCGGTGGTTCAGGAGGCTCAGGAGGTCGTTGATCAGGAGGCAAAATCCGAGGTCGCTCTGGTTCTGGTGTTAGCTCCAATCTCCTCCTATCTTGGTGCTGGATGAGGTCATCTTGCCCTGAGTGAAAAATAGCAAAAAAGTCAAAAGCTACCACAGAAAACTAAATACTGAAAATAGTGTTGCCTATGGAATGGTCCTAAAGATGATTAGATGTTTCATTTCTACAAAAACATTAAATGAAAAGGGAAAATTTCTGCAAGTGCTAACGTTATCTGCTACCCGAAACATTTTACTATCTTTAGTTTCAAAGTTAATTCATATATCCCTATTTATTGCTCGAGGTACACAAGTCTCCATATACATTGTATGTACGTCAATAATCCCTTTGTATTTGGAATAAAAGCTTATTTCTTTGGCAAAGCGTCTGCCTGGCAAGCGCAAGGTCATGAGTTCGGTTCCCGGTACCGGAGAAAAACCAAAAAAAAAAAAAAGCTTATTTCTTAACCATAAGGGTATGTCTTAGAAAAAAATATAGCATTCATAATAATCTATATCACATATGGATAAAGTGTTAAAGAATCCATGCCTGGGACTAAACAAAGTAGGAAACCAACCTAATACCAGTGACCTGAGTATTTTCAGGACATGGCTTAACAATACCAGTGAAGAGAAAAGGAGCATGAATCCAGTCCTATGAGAAGCCCAGGACCCACACACTTACCCGACACCGGCGTGCTAGGTTCTGGAGGTGGCCTGAGTTGTAATGATGCATCATGTCCGGAACCATTTTCCCTCTCTTCTACTAGCACATCTTTCTGCTTTGACTGCTGAGCCTTTATTAACTGAGTCAAGAGAACTGCAAATGCACTCTGCACGGCCGCCTGGGCAGCATCAGTCTCCACTTTAGGTTGGACAGTCTGAGAAGAAGGCTGAATTCCTCCCAGTGGTTTCGAAGACTCCTGTTGTGGTGTGGATGGATCTGTCTGTTTTTCACCTGTTGCCAAAATTCCAGCAGGAAGGTTTATTTTATTTAGTTGCTGTTGAGTCTCAGAGTTAACCTTAATGTTCAACACTTGGACAAAATCAGCCATATTAATACTTGTTTTAGATTGTAGTAGGTTTAGAAGAATTGCCAATTCACTGTGGTTTAACTGCTGTCCAGGGCCTGTTATTACTAAAGACAAAATTTGTATTAATTAGAACTGCCACAATTCACAGGTTTTCCCACCCTCCAAAATGACTAAAAGTTACCATATTAAAATGTACATTTGAGAGCGTTTTAGAAAACACTGAAAAGGCTACTTAAGTGAAGTTCACTGTCATGACATTTAAGGTGAAACTGCAATGTCAATCAAGATGAAAAGAAACTGCAGTTAATTTTGGACGGGTTATCTTTAGGGGTCAATATTTCAAAAGGAAACTCAAAACCATTACCAGAACCCACACACTACAGATCTAACCAGGAAACATCATCTTATGAAATGGAAATGAATGATGATGATGATGATAGCTAACAGAGTGTCGTACTACTAAGGATTTTGTATCTTTTATTCTTTACAACCAACTTACAAGGCAGCCTCTATTTTTAGCCTCATTTCACTGAAGAAGTAGCGGACCTAAACAAACAACTTGCCCACGGTCTCCCATTCTGTAAGTGGCAGAGATGCGATGTGAGCTCTAATTCCAGAATCTGACCTCTTTTCTATACCTTACTGATTCTCTAAACTAAAAGACACGTACCCTTTGCAATAAATTAACAATGTTTTACAGACTGTGGTATCTGTGTTTCAGGATACATGCTGCTGAAGCGAGCATAGTATCTGTGTTTTTATTTGAATTTTTAAAGTTACTATGGGTGTGTTACGAAGGCCTATAGAAACCTATGTATATACGACAGGATTAACTGGCCAGTAAAACAGACTCAGCTGTTTTTCCAACTTTCACTTTAGCTCGGAATGGTTAGTACTGGTTTTTATGCAAGCTTATCTGAATCATATATACCAGCCATGCTCAATACTATTATATACAGTGAATGATAAGTCATGACAAGCAATTCCTGTAACAAAGATGAAAGACTAACAAGAGAACTCTAAAGCTGAATACATTAATGCTATTCATATTGCTGTATTTTTATATTTATATATTTGAGATATTTTTATTACTTAATATAATTTTTCGGTTAATTCAAAACAAACTTTTCCAAGCTCTTAGGATGTGCAATAAAGAACCACATTCTTTACTGTATATCAAGAGGAGCTTTTCCTCATTTTTCTTTTTATTTCTCTACTAGCAGAAGTGTCTTCATATGACCGCAGGAAAATATTCTTTAACTAAAATCTCTGTTCTGCATGGGGATATTTTATTTAAGGACACTGATGGTGGAGGTTCTAACTTTTAATGGAGAGTCTTAGACAAGAGAACAGAAAGGGAAGTGGTAAAGGAAAAAAAAAAGAAGAAAAAACCAAAACTCTCCACCAAGTCAGAAGGTAAAAGAAGTCACTAAATGAGCCCAGAAAGGGCACTTCATCTTTTATCACGTATAATACTATCACAGAAATAGAGTAAAATACCTAGTAACCCCCTATTAGCTTTACTCCTGTCTCCTGATAGTCTTGCTAAAAATGACAACGATTACCTGGGACAACTGACCACACCATACAAATTTTCTGTTACTGCCATTTCAAAACCTCTTTTAGTGGTAGATGGTATGTAAAACATGTAAATACAAATTAAGAAAACGTATATTCTCTTTTGCCTTTGTCCAATTTTTACATATCTGTAAGGTAAAAAGCATCCTGAACATGTAACCTGTTAGCCCTAACAGTACTTCTGAATAAAACTGCTTTCATTTTTTTAAACATCTGAGGTATTTTAAATATGTAGTCTAGCGAAGGTCAAGCATAAGCTTATTATAGCATTAATAGTAATCTTTCTCAGCTAATCTACTCTATATTTATACGCAATCACCAGAACTTCAATCTCATCCATAGGTCTGTTTTAATCATCTTACTGATCAACATTTACTTATCTCCTAATATGTGTGAGTGCATTTTTCAGGTTTAATACACCAGCACCTTTGCTCTCACACCCATTCATACACACGCTCACATTTTATATCTATGTTTGTCTTCACAAAATTCTAAAGTGAAACTGAAGATGTTTCTGAGTTCCTTAGGCAAAATGAAGTGGATTTCACTTTTTTTAAGTCATTAAATAAATGAGATGACTTTAACATTTCTGGTAACACTGAAGAGACTAACTTCTCATAGAAAAGATCACTCTTATTTGCGTCAGAAAAGAAGCTAACGTTTACCAAAATAACAATATAATAAAATTTTTTTATCATATTTTATTTCTGGCACAAATACCAGATTCCAATCTTTGAAATTCTGATACAGCAGGGGAAATATCATTAAGAGTGACCTGAGGACATTATAAATGGCATGGAAGAGCTTCCATGATGCTTTCTGACTCTTTCCTATCTTCTTATTATTATTCCTTAAGCATCCACAGACCAAGTACTGAGCCTCCCCAAGAATAGTATTAGTAAATGATGCAGTGACTCCTGCACTAGGGGAAAAAAGGAAAAAGAAAATCTGACCAGTCACCAATTATAGATAATCTGATGCATCTTTCAAAATTATCTTACCTGGAAACTGCTTAAAATTGAGTGCCATTAGCAATGCATCTTCTATAAATAATAAATAATAATAAAGAAATAATAATAGATAATAAAGAAATATCAAGTTCCATGAATGAACCCTAACTTTCATCTTTCAGACACAAGATTCTTTAGCAGTAGAGCAATATAATCAACATTAGCCACGAGACAACGTGAAGAGAACCAACCCAGAGAAGCATTACTGACCAGGTGCTACATTCGAGTTGCCCTGAGATTTCAGCTGTGTAGCTGGCAGCACACCTTGTGGTGTATTGGTTCTGCTGTCGTCCAAACCCAGAGATAATTCCTTTCTGGGAGCCTTAATTGTGGAAACATCATCAGTCATGCCCATCTGTTTCTGTCTTCTTCGCTTTTTACTCCACAACTCATGACAATCTTGCCATAAAGGAAGGCTGAAAAAATTTTTAAGTACAGAGTTGTGAATGGCATTTAACAAAAATATGCTAAAGTTACAATGTAGCGCCAGAACCATCACTGTCCCCCAATTCACTGCTGAAGACTTCATACACAAACTCCGCAAAACTCCAATAAAAATCACCCTGAAAGGCCCACCTTCTTTAGCTTTACCCTTGCAGATGAACTATCTTTTCTTTGGCTTCTGAAAAACTGATAAATGATCCTTATCAAAATTATGAATGACAAATATATATTCATTAAAGTAGGCTAGCATCATCCTTGGTGCAACCTTTTAATGGCATTTCTTATTAAATACACCATACATTCAACAGGAAGAAGGAGGCAGAAACTAGATACACGAACAATAAAGGAGTAAAAGCTAGAACAATTTGTGAAAAACCTTATACTAAAACTTTTTATTTTTTAGTAACCTCTTAATTTGCTTCTATAACCAAATGCCCTGGCATTAAATTGAAGGAACAGGTGAGTTTCAAACATAGGTACTCCAGGCACAGAGAGGCTCATCAATTACTAACAAAGTTCTCAATACTAGTTAACTGTAAAAGTCACCCACAATTCTGGAACAATTCTACCTTAGTGTAATTGCACAAAAGTAGTAATACTACAGAATGACTTTTGCGTAAAGAAAGAAATATTTGATTTTTTAATGTTTTCTTCATACTCTAATAAAAAAACACCCTATAGATTCTTGTGTATCTATTTTAAACACTGAGGCTTGCAAAGGTTAATCAACTTGCCCAGAATACCTATAAACTCCTTTAAGCAACCCCACCTGATGATATATACCCCAAGTTCTCAACCTGGATGTTTACCTTGAAGGGTACACATCCTTGAGACTTTCCAGAGGGTACACCTGTAAGTGGTTTAAGGGAATTTCTATATCCACATGTTTTCTTTTCTAAGACTGAACTTTGAGAATGGCTTGCATATTCAAGTTCTTTCATACCTCCTCTTTCACAATTATTGTTCCTTCCTGTTATAAAGGCATATGCAACATTATGATTGACTCTCAGCAATATAATATTAGTTTTAAAAGGCCATTTCCAAAAGATTACAAACATACTGGTATGACACTCTTTTATAAAATTAAAAACTAAAATTTTTAAAATATAGGTTTGTATGAAAGTATGTACAGATGGCAACAAGAAAGTATATACCAAAAATTAAAACAAAATAAGGGGATGATGGTTACCTTAAGTGGAGAAAGGGTAAGGTGATGGGTGGGTGACAGGAGGGTTATATGATTAAAGTAGGGTATTTTCAAGGTTCCAGCTTTTGGTTGATAGGTTCATGGCTGCTTATTACCATTATTTAACGTAACTAAAATAAATAAAAGAGAGCCATGCATGGACCAATGATGAGTGACACGAGGATTATGATTAAACCAATCTATGCACCTGAGGTCTGAAAACAAAACAAAAGCGTACCTCTTAGCCATCTTACTATGGTGCATTGCCTCAGCGTGTATAAACCTCCTGGAGTGACAAACAAAGGGACAATTTGAAATATTGATATTGGGAAGCTTTAAGGCATCATAAACCCTCCAAAGACATTCCTTTCTGTGTACGTGCCTGTGCTTTGTATGATGTGTGAGTTAGGCTCTACTGGCATACTTTGAAATCAGATTACAGAGCAGGGTAAAGGAAACGATTTTACTTCTTTCATCCCGATGGCCAAGAAATGCAGTGATCTTGTGGGAAAGCATCATGAGAGGAGAGCAAAGAGAGTCATAAAAAGGGCTTTGGTTGCCTCCCATAATAGCAGGTTGAAGAGATTCTTTATGGATTACCTCAATACTCATCTCTAAAAAGTAAAACACTACCCTACACGTAATTAATACAGAACAGCTTAGTGGTGCTGATTCTTTTTAGAGACCAGGAATGTTTTCCAGACGACCAAAACTGATGTGCTTCCTTCCAGGTTCAAACACCAGCTCAGCCACTTAATGCTGTGTCTTGTTAGGCAAGTAAATTGACTCCCATGCCTCAAGTGGATTCCTTATCTTTTAAATGGAAGGCTGGGAGGTGTGGCACACACCTGTAATCTCAGTACCCAGGAAGTTGAGACAAGAGGATTGCTGCGAGTTTGAGGCCAGTGTGGCCTCGCTAGTCAGTTCAAAAACTGCTTTAACTACAAAGACAGACTGCCTCAAAAAAACAAAATAATACAATAAAACAAGTTAACAATGCTATCCTCTCACAGAGGTAGAGGTAAAATAAGTTAACATGTAAGCATGTGGACAATGCTTCTCACACAGTAGGTGCTGTATTCATGTTTAATGTCATTGTCATTACTCAATAAGGTAACTTAAACCTGTTTTCCATCAAACTGTATCATAAAATATTTATTCCAATGACAAATGATCACATTTCACTTTGTGAACTGTTTAGGGTTTCTCATACTGCAGTTAACATAAAAACTACAGGCTACTTTCCAGTCTAATTCACTTTTTAGCTATATACACTTTCTTTCTTCCTTAAATATATCAGAGAATTTGACAGACATTTAATACATTTAATGAAGCTAGTTCTGATACTTAGTATTCCACTGTCATTTGATGTTTTAAAAAAATTGATCAGAAGAACTTGACACATTTTCCAAAGGAACATCCTGTCTGCATGTTCCTTACCTTGAAAGTGACATATTTTTATAACTTACTACAAAACGATAAGATCTTTGTGTTTCTTTGTTTTTTTTATTTATTTATTTATTTATTTATTTATGTAGGTAGGTAGGTAGGTAGGTAGGTACTGGGAACCAAACTCAGGACTTTAAGCTTGCCAGGCAGGAACTTGTGCTGCTGAGCTATATCCCCAGCCCTGTTATATGTTATTTAAATAGCTTTTAATTTAAATGTTTCTGTTTGGTTAGGTTTTTTTTTTTTTTGTTAGTTTCCATTTGTTTGGTTGTGATTTTTAGGTTTTTTTTTTTTTTTTTTTGGTTTTTCTCCGGTACCGGGAACCGAACTCACGACCTTGCGCTTGCCAGGTAGGCGCTTTGCCAGTGAGCTAAACCCCCAGCCCTTGGTTGTGATTTTTAAAGAGGTGTTGGGAATTGACGCCATGGCTTCGCATCTTCAAGGCAAGGGTTATACCACTGAGCTACACCCCAAATGTTACTTACACCCTGACTCAATGTCACTGTAATCTTGACCTAACTGCTTTACTTATGTATCTAACAGGATGAAATCTATAAAATGTTACTGCTTTACAGAAGGATCTGCTAATGTGCACTTTTTTTTTTTTTTGAGACAGGGTCTCACTATGCAGTTCAGGCTGGCCTTGAGCTCACTTTGTAGCCCAGGCTGGCCTCAAACTCTTGGAAGTCCTCCTGCCTCAGCCTTCCGAGTGCTACGATTACAGGTGTGCACCACCTAGCTCCAAATGTGCATTTTTGTTTTTAATGGAAAAAATGCAGGCAGGTGTGCTCTAATAAAAATTAAGTCTTTTTTATGTGATCTGTTTGACAACAATTGTAGAGTTTATAAGAGAAAACTACAAGTATCACAAGAAGTCATTTTAAGAAGCATTGGAAAAGCCACTGGGAAAAAAATGATTAATGACTAGATAAATTCTTTAGGAAATCATCAAGGTTTCTAATTCTTTAATATCAAGAAAACCGAAGAGTTTTAAGTTGACATATGAAAAGTTGTTGAAATCATTTCTGATATAAAAAAAGAAATTTCTGGTACAGAATGTGGAAAGAATTCAAAGGGATTAACTGTGACAAAACTCCTTCCACTCTCAAATGCTTATTTACAAGGTTTCTTGCAAAATAAATGGCAGGGCTAGGAAAATAGTTCAGTGGTAAAGCACATGCTGCATGTACCGTTGGACTCAGTCCACAGTACTTAAAAGTAACTGAAATAAAAGTACAATGAATGTGAAGGTATGTCTCATTTTTAAATAAGGAATATTAAAATAAGCATGCAAACTACTTGTGGGAAAAAATGTCAGCCCTATCATTTGATTGCATTTCCAACAAAACTTACTGTTTCACTTTTTTATTAACTGAAATATGTACTATTCATAAAATATGCTATTACTACAGTCACAGGAAATGTTTGAAAACTGAATTTCCATTTATATTAATACCCTTGTTTAAAGAAGCATGATAGGGTAATTTATATTACAGTAGAATAAAACCTGCAGGAGCAGAAGTTCAAGATCAAAGAGATCTGAAATCTACTGAAAAGTAGACTATCTATACACTCTTTAAACCTTTGATTTGAAAAATTTAATTATCAACTAAAACTGATAAAGTTTTACCAGAATTCTTTCATAAGGACCAACTAAACCAAATGATTTAAAATTAGCAGCACCAATAATAGAAATAATATATTACATTCCTCTTGATGTAATACAATAGAAACACACTTGACCATGAAAGTAGTATTCTTGCCCTGAAAACAAAGTTAATCTAATTCTGATCACAAGACAGCAATTAAATCTACACTGTGGGATCTTCTACCGAACAGCTCACTGGGATGCTTCAAAACACGTCTACCTTATACAAGCCCTCTGCAAAGAGCAGTTTAAAGGCTGAAGAAACATGCCATGAATTTTTTTTTTTAATTACTGAAGTCTTTAAAGGATTACTGAAATATTAGGGAAAGCTGAATATCGAGTGCCAACTAGCACAATGTAAAATTTCTTAAGTTTTACAAGAGTCCAATACTGATGTGGAGTAAAGTTCTAGTTTCTACAAATGCAGGATGGAATATTGATAAAAGAAGTATCACTTCCACAAGACAATATTCAACCACTTTACGGAAAATGTTTATATATAGTGATAGCACAAATATATCCAAATATTAATAACTGAATCTAGGTAAAGGGATTTTCATTGCACACTCTTTGTATTTTTTGGTAGAGTTCCACTTTTCCAAGTCAAAAGTTAAAAAAAAAATTCTTTGCAGACTACTACAGGCAAATCTTCAAGATTACTGATACATACTGACAAGCAAAAGAAGAAAAAAAGAAACTACTAATTCAGTGAATGATTCAGGTTCAACATGTCTGATTCTTTATCTCTTTCAAGTTCAGTAAGACCTTACTAAAACCTGACAACCGGACTACAACAACTTCATAGAAATGAGAAGCCCAATCTGTTCTGTCAAAGAGCCAGGATTTAAAATATAAAGCCCATGTTTATTCATTCAAACTGTGCTGATATTATCATTCAGAAACAATGGATTATAGGATCAGGCTTTAAAAAGTGGTACTGGGGATGCTAGGGAAGCATTCTACCATCCCAGCCCACTAGGCTTGCTTTTAATGTCTCTCTCCATGCTAAAAATTACTAATACCTACAAGGTATTCTCCCTTCCCTCACTCCCCAAATCAGTCCTGGAGGAAATCAGTCCTAGGAAAGTAAGGGATTATGAACCCAGCTATTCTGATTCTCAAACTATGGAATTCTCACCCCATCAAACAATAACTCATTCCATACACACTTCTAATATTCTTTAAATGTTAAGATTTGTATTCTTGGGCAAGTTTCTTAACCTCTTTGAGCCTGCCTCCTCCTCTGTAAAATGGTGGTAATAACAATACCTACCTCAGAGGATTGCAAAGAGGATTACAAAGATTAATGTAACACATGAAACGTATTTAGCAGAGCACTCACAATTTTAGCTAAAGTAATAATAGTGGTAGTATAAATACTGGTAAAAGTAACAGCAATAACCGTTTTCAAGAGTTGAAATATATTCACAAAATCTTGAGATGAATTAACCCAACATTTGCTAGAGAAAGGCTGCTGTAACTAAGCCTTGGGTCAGCTCAACATTACAGTAAGCATCTGCATTCCAGATACTCAAATTACATCTACCTTTTGGCTTCTTTCAACCTAACCAGGCATGGGATATCATCTGATCATTATATTCACGTTCATTAAAAACGTCCAGGTTCTGCATACATGGGATCTAATATAACAAAAAGTCACTTACTCTGGTGGAGGCATTTTTGAGGGTTCCACATCTCGTAGAAACTCACACTGAAGAGCCTGCTCAGCAGTGCAGCGCTTACTAGGATCCAAGGCGAGCATGTAATCAAACAAGTCTAGAGCAGCTGCAGGAATGCTAGCACGAGAGGATCACAAAAGCTCAGTGTTTCCTTAGGAATGTTATCTTAATGTAAATTATTTTGAATTATTTTAAATGCTAATATTTGTATGTTTATAATACTTTACTTCAATTATACCAACTTTTCCTTTAAAGAACTATTTCACCGTTTTTACACAATTTTGTCACTGTGGCAAGCAACACTATGCGACCCTATGGGCAATTTGCTGTTATATTTTCAAAACTGAACAAAATAAAGGAGTTTCTTCTGTTTTTGTTTTTTGAGACCAAGAGTCTTGCTGTACAGTTCAGGCTGGCCTTGAACTCACTATGTAGCCCAGGCTGGCCTGGAAATCTCAGTGATCTTCCTGCCTCACTAAGGCTGCCTAACTACTTACTGCCACCACGCCTGGCTGAATAAAATCATAGTTTCTTAAAATAAAACCGTAAGCTCAAGTAACTTGAAAGCTGTTTTAAGAAAATATGAAACCAGATTTTCAAAATTCTCCCATGTAAGCAATATATCAAACACACAATACAAATCACTGATCCCATAGTAATGTTAAAAGGTAATTTGCATGAAGCCAAAGAAAACTCAAACTTAAGTGGTCTGGAAGATTATGACTGATCTAGTTCAGGTCAAGAGGACAGAACGGTGTTTAGAATTTCCAGGAAGTAACTTCTTTTAAACAACATTCAATGCAATATGGATGTGCAAGCATCCCTTTCTTACAAAACAAATTCTTCTCTTAACTTTCGGCGATATTGCTTCTTTGGTTTCATAGTGTTGAAATATGGTAGTTTGATTACATCAGGCCACACTGCTGGACACGGACTCCCACATATACGGCTAAACAACACACAAAAAGAATTACATCACTATATGCTAAATAGAAAAAAATAAGAGAGACAACTGTTAAAACATCAACTCATTTTTAAATATAGGCAAGTTAAAGGCTTGAGACAATGTATAAGAAGTGTAATTAAGTATTTCAGAATTCTGAGTTTACTCACTTTTTAAAAAATCTATTTTCAGTGATGCTTCTAACAACCCAAGCATCTGGTTCCTAGAGAGGACCTTCATGCAGGAAGGTAACTAGCACAAAGACTACAACCACATGCAAACGGGAAGACTCAAAAGGTAAAATGATGTTAAAGTTCTTCACGGCAAGTAATGCTAATGATCACAAGATATTCAGAAATTTTAACTCCTTTACTCTCTGCTTATCTATCTTGAAAATCCTTATTAAATTGCTATTAATAAATTCTTGTATAATTTACAGAATGTTTAAGCAAAAATCTAACTAGCTAGTGAATATTTTTAAAATATACCATTTAGTAAATTAAATACTGGCTAAATATGCTTGAGTATATCAAACTGCAAGGATACATGAATATTACGTATAAAACTGCCAGCTGATCCTCACAGATAACAAGAAAATGTAGATGCATCACTTAAGAAAATGAGAAACATTTTATAGATGCATACACATAGTATAAACGTAAGTGATGACCAAAACACGCTCAGGAGCTTAAAAATGCTAATTCAAAAAAACACACATGTGCCACAAGACAGATTTTCATGTTCTTTCAAATTAAAGCCACTGAGCTGTACTTTTTTGTCTCAATATAGCTTTTATTTCTGTAAATTTTTTAAATGTATCAAGATCTTATTTGTATACTCACAATGCCATTTCTTAAAACTGGATTTTCATGACCTCCTCAACCTCTTTTAGGGAAGAGGGCCAAACTCCCAGAGCACAGGCTTGCTAGGAAGTGGTCCCAAACTGCCTGTTTCATCCTCCAACACATTTCTTTGTACACATGGCACCTTCATGTTCCTGTTTTTATTTCTCCCCAGATTCTAGATAGCTAAATTGTTTTCACTTCATTTCTCCAGGTTCAAATGAAGTCTTCCCTATAAGGTCTTCTCTATTCCCAAATGCTACTCAGAATGGCCATTCTTTACATACTCCTTGTTTCTTTGACACTTGCTTCCACCTAACGTGTATTTTAGTGGTTTACACGTGTTTCTCTTATTACAGTTCAGAAACTGTGTCTTGTTTTTGTAGACTTCACCATGGAAGTACATAAATACAGATAACTGGGCAGATGATGTACATTAATAGGAAGAGTTTAAACCATATCGGAATAGTGAAAATGAAAGATACTTTCAATTGCAGACATTGCAAGAAAACTTAATTGAGGTTACAGAAGGGGGAGGAATTCTGGTTGTAATTCGAAACATGAGTAAGCCACAAACAGGTGGGAAAAGTGTAAGAGAAATACATTACTGGCAGAGAAGAACACAGGCTAAGAAAGACATCTGTGACTTCTCAGAAATCACTGCGGACGGACCTTAGGGCTCAGGGAGATGAGTTGAAGTGTGTACCCGGGGCCACGTCACATCGCCTATCTATAATGAAGACAAGCTCTGGAGATAAACTTTAGATCTGTGTAATACTGGTCAAACTGCACTTCTGAGGAATCTGCTCTTCTCTCAAAGTGGAGAATAATTTTACTTGATCTTCATTTGTAAAGCGGGGAATAATTTTACTTCAGGGCTACAAAATTAAATAAACTAGCCACCTACCTATTAACAATCGTAATAAACACAAGATTATTACTCTTAAGAGTTTCAATTATGACATATGTTGGTGGATGGTAAGTGAATACTGAAGTTGTCTAAATAAAAGGGAAGCATTCCACTTAAGCACAGAAAATTATTAGAAACTAGGGAAGCAGACCCAAGAGCAACTGTTAACAGTATAGTAATAAAAGCTGTGTTTGATCACTACTTAGCCATCACAGTCTTACTAATGGTGTCTCCTAATGTGCCACATGCTAACACATACATTAAACTCTCAAGTATCTGAGAACTATTTGGGAAACACACTGTGCTGTACTGAACAGTGAAGTTCTTTGTCCAAGTCTTTTAAAAGAGTGCTAGGACAAAATCATCTAGACACCTTTCTCTTCAATTACTTTGCTCAGAATGTTGTGACACGTGAATTGAGGACAAAATTGTACTTCAAGAGTGCCGATGGAATTCAACTGCTGCTCTGAACTTTGACTGTTTGCACTGCTTAGTATTTCTACTCTAAAAATATTTTATTTCTTTTGTCTTAGATATGTGTATCAGTGAGAAGTTTCATGGGCTTTTTTTTTGAGTATTGTTAGCCTACTACATTTCCTAAATAGTTATTTAGCAAATCTGACAAAATTTTTAGGTAGCCATCTAAAACATAACGGTTCCTGAATTCTAGCAGTTGCTTCTTTGAAGCTTTCCAGATTTACGATCATTTTACTAATTAAAACCTGTCTTTTTTCTGCAAATGTACGTATATATATATGTGTATTGTGTATATACACACATAATTATGGTTTGTTACATTATGTGGCAATTTTCAGTGTTCAAATGATGATACAACACAATGGTGACTATGGTGCTGATTTTATTGGGAGTACTTTTCACTGTTTGCTCCTAGGAAGGCTGATTCTGGCTTAAAAAACATACAATGTCGTAAGGATAGTAAGGCACACATAGAAATTCACGCAAACCTCCTGTAAAGAAGGAAAAAAAAGCACTCCATTATTCCTCACTATGTGCTTTAAATTTTGTAGATTTTTTTTTTTTTTTTTGGTCTTTTGTTTGAGACAGGGTCTCACTATGCAGTTCAGGCTGGTCTTGAACTCACCTCATAGCCCAGGCTGGCCTTGAATTCCTGCCTCAGCCTCCTGAGTGCTGGGATGGCAGGCATGCACCACACCTGGCTAGCTTTTAAATTTTTAAAAGATGCTTTATCAATTGACTTATAAACTGTATTAATTTCATCATCTACATTTTCTACACTGAACTCAACATCATAAGCTTATTAAGAGATTTCCTAGTATGTATTCATCCTTATATTCAAGGAAGAATACCGCTTGGGCCTAATGAAAGTGTAATGCCATACACTCTGTACTGGTATTTGTATGTGATACTGGTATACAGCAGCAGTGCTAAGAACTGGGCCCCAAAGATCCCCCGGTTCCCCTAGATCCCTCAGCAGTGTGGCAGTCAAACTTATCACTGAGACATGATTTGCTTTTTTCCAATGTGTCCACTTGCACAAATGACACAGAAACTGTGATGGACAGAACCACTGACATCTTAATGCGATTCACACAATTCCAAAGGTAGGAGCAACCACTTTCACTTGAGAATGTACTTACTGAAGCAGTAAATACTGTTATTAAATGCTGTCATTTGAGTATGTGCATATCTTTAAAATATTCTGTGATGAAATGGGAAACAAAGTACTGCTGTGAAGACACACACTAGTTATCCTAAAGAGAAATACCTGTCAGTATTTGAGCTGCAAGCTCGAGTGGCTGCATTTTCAATGGACCTTGATTCTCTATCGGTAAGAACAACCAATAAAGAGCATTTCCAATTTTCTCAAATATGAAAATCAGCTTTCACTTCAAGGAAAACTAGTATTTATTGTCAATTTTAAAATTCTAATTTTCAAAAGAAAGCTGGAATAGTGGAAAACTTATATGAACCACCATATACTTGATACCTTCTCACTACATAAATAGCTTTTCTGATGAAATTAGCGGTGATTACAAATATATAATGTTACATTTGGAAGATGTGCTCCATTCAGTAAGCCAGTATTTTCCAAATGGCCAATAATGCATAATGTTACAAAATCATCATGGATAAAAGTTCCACTCAAAGCCCAAGACAAACCAATGAGCTTCAATCAAGTACAAAATATTCCTTCAAATAAACTCAGACTGCACAGTACCACTAACCAGCACATGAAGACTGCCACTTATCAGATATGTAAAAATACGTAACAAGTATCACTCATTTCAGCAACTTTTTATTTTGCAAAATACGCTTCTTTAAATTAAAAAGCTTGTATTACATTAAAATTCAAATTTTTCAATTTTATCCTCTAATATAAACTACTGATAAATATAATCAACATACATAAAAGCTCTTGAAATTTTGAATAATTTTTTTAGCATGAAGAAGTTGAGACCAACAAGACTGAAACACATTGTCTAAAGAGTACTTTATGTTATTAATTTATGAAAGCATACATGATTCATTTTTTGGATTTTGGTACTGGGAATCGAACTCAGGGCCTCATTCATCTTTAAAAATAATTTCATCCTCGTGATCTGAGGTATTATGTACTTGGGGTGGTTGTGGTGGTAATCAAGCAAAAGCAGGATTCTTTTCATTCTCATCTATTTTTAATTTCTTCCATGATTAAGACTTTTATTTGATAAGTAATGTGGATGGTACAACATAAAGGCTCTTTAGCTGGCTGCCAGAAAGCTTAAAGTGTGACACTTGGATAACTGATGTCTATAGCCACAAAGCTAGTATTTTTTGCCTTCATGTATCCTATTCTGTCCCCACCTACGCTTTCCATTCTCTTTCTTCTATCACTTTTTAACCCGTTCTTCTATTCACTAAACTGCACCTGTACAAAGTACTTTCTGCAGCAAAAGGAATTTTAAATAATCATTGTGGTATATAAAGCTCTTAAAAATAGATTCTGAGTGGTACTCAAATTGCTGATCATTTTACACATAGTGTGTAATACTAGGCCTCTATGTCATCAAGGCTGAGCCTTTTTGGGTAAAGGAAACACTCTAGCAATACCACAACTAAGGTGAAGGACAGCAGAATGTACCAGAAAACAAACTTACATTTCTTACAACTCTAATCATGTTATTGGTCCTGTTCTTAACTGTAAAGAAACAAATTTAGAGTACTGTAGAACTTACCCTAAGTCACAGGAGCCAAAAGTAGCTGAGCTGCCATTAGAACCCCCACTTGTTACG